GATGAAATTAAAAAAGCTCTGTTAGCCATTAAATCCAAGGCTGTGGGTTTTGATGAAATTAGTAAGCAAATGGTGTTTATGATTCTTGAGTACCTTATTCCAGCTATAACACACATTATAAATTATTCTCTGGACTCAGGTCAATACCCTTCTGCATGGAAAATGGCTTTTGTAAGACCTCTTCCTAAAATACCTAATCCTGTTTTCCCTAACCATTTTCGTCCTATTTCAATTCTCCCAAACCTCTCTAAAGTTCTGGAAGCGTGTGTTTTTAAGCAAATATCTGTATTCGCTGCAAAACATAACCTGCTGAATGAATTTCAATCGGGGTTTCGCTCTGGTCACAGTACTACCACTTCGCTTATCAAAGTCACAGACGATATAAGAAAGGGCTTAGATGAGCAAAAATTAACAGTGGTGGTGCTTATTGACTTTTCAAACGCTTTCAACACAGTGGATCATGGTATCCTCCTATCCATCCTTAAACACCTTAAATTTTCATCCCCAGCCTTGGAATGGTTTTCTTCTTATATTCGCGGTCGCCAGCAATCGGTTTGCTCAGGTCAGCGGTTTTCTGCATGGGCTGAAATTGAATCTGGTGTGCCGCAAGGCAGAATACTTTCTCCTATTATGTTTTCCTTATTTATAAATTCTATCTCCTCAGTTTTAGATTGTTCATACCTATGTACAGTCAGTTTACAGTTCAGCTCTATGTACAGTCAAGCTTAAATAATCTTAATTTTGTAGTACACAAACTAAATGATAACCTGGAAACCATAAGAGAATGGTCATGTAAATATGGCGTTTCTGTTAATCCTGCCAAATGCAAAGTTATAATATTCGGAAGTTTGCAATTATTGGCTAAGGTTGATTATGGAAATCTCTCTCCTCTAATTTATAATGGAAGTTTGATTCCATATTGTGATTCCATAAAAATCTTGGCCTGTACATAGATAAAACTATGACCTGGAAATTGCAGATCTCTGAAGTTAGTTGTAAAGTTGTTGCTACCTTGCATTCCCTTTATCGTCTTAAAAATTTCCTACCTTTCAAAACCAAGCTTACGCTGGTTCATTCCCTCATTCTTCCTATTATCGACTATGTCGATGTATGTTACCCAGATCTGTCAGAAAATCCTCTAAACAAGTTGGAGCGCCTTCTTAATAATTCCTTAAGGTTTATTTTTGGTTTACGTAAGTATGACCACATATCATCCTATCGCTCAAAGTTTAAATAACTACCTATAAGTCAAAGGCGATGCTCTAGAATTTTACTTGTACTTTATTCAATTTTTAACGATCCAAGGTCGCCTTCTTATCTTAAGGATAATTTTCATTTTTTTCATCCAATCGAATTGACGGTCGAACATCCCGACAGTCAAACCGTCTGAGGTTAAGGTTTCCACATCATAAGTCAAATTTTTTTAGGTCGTCTTTTACGATACAAGCTATACAACTTTGGAACACCCTCCCAATGATATTAAAATGCCACAAATAAAAAAGTTTTCAAAGTTCTTCTCCGAGAACATTACCTGAAGGAAACTACTAATTAACATTATTTTCCTTAATTTTTGTGTTTCTTTTCTTCTTTTTTACTTCAAATATTTATTTCATTATATATTATTCAAACATTATATTATACATATATATCATTCATTTGGATATTTATTTACGAAGTTTATATGTACGTATATTTATACTATATGTGTGTATATTTAAATGTAATGTGTATGTATGTAATTTGCATATATGTATATTTTAATGTATGTGCACTTATGTATAATGGTCGCACCTGCCAACAATTGTCCTTGGCACCCAGGGTTGACTGGCAGTGAATGCCACATGGCATTAAGTCCGCCCTATGTACCCCTTTAGCTTAAGGTGTTACGTGTAATTTTTTAAATAAATAAATAAATATAGACTTCATCACATATAAAAACATAATTACAGACTGGATTCATAAAACTTGCGGATATACGAATAGAAAGCATTTATATATTTTTTTGTGGTGAGAAATAAAAGTTTTTATTATTATATATAGGAGAACCTTTCTTCTCCATCGGTCGTCAGTTATTATATATGGAAATAATAATAATAATAATAATAATATATATATATATATATATATATATATATATATATATATATATATATATATATATATATATATTATTTCCATATATAATACTAGTACAAAAGTATAATAAATACATTATTATTTACATTTGAAAATTCACAGTACTACTGGCTACTACACAAAACTTGACACAACTGGATTATACGCTTGTTTCTTTTTATTTAATGGTACTTGTTACCTGGCATAGACCTTTTACTAACTGATAGATGCATTTTTAATATAGATCCAACTAGTGCAAAATTCATGAAGCTTTTTGTAACTTTCCATTGATAAAAATTCGTTTAAAGTGTAGAAGTCAGCGAGGCCGCTCTAATTGCCCTAACGTAAAAGTTTTAGGCGACTATGGTCGCCCGGGCGTTTGATTGGTTATAAACACAAATATATACCGGCTATCACAAATCATGACTCATACTCTACTACACATTATTTCACATTATTTATTAAAACTATTATTTACGGATTTTATCGCGTTTAATTCAACTTTAATTTATTTTTACTATCCCGACGTTTCGGGTGCTTTACAGCACCCGTGGTCACGGGGGCGACTGAGATGTTTGACATCCCAACACTATAACAATGTCATAGTTAGTCCGGCTACCTTCAGTTTTTGAATATTAATTTTTGGTTTCACAATTTTACCATCTGACAAAGTAACTGCATTTTTAGACCACCTTAACTCCATAAACTGTAAAATACAATTCACAATGGAGTTAGAGGCAAATAATTCTTTAGCCTTCCTAGATGTTTTAGTCATTCGAAATCCTGATAACACTATTGGTCACACTGTGTATAGGAAAAAGACCCATACCAACCGATACTTAAATAGTGAATCTCACCATCATCTTTCACAGTTAGCTACCGTGGGTAAATCTTTGTTAGAGAGAGCACGAGGGATCTGTGACAGAAAACATCTGGCCGCGGAGCTTCAGCACATCAAGCAAATATTGCAAGACAACAAGCTCCGGGTCCCGCGCCTACGTCACAGTGACCGAGTGAAGCCGGCCACAGTCGAGCGTGTGCCTGCTGTACTACCGTATGTTAGAGGAGTCACAGATAAGATTGGCTACATCTTGAAGCGAGCTTGCATTAAAACATACTACAAGCCGCCGAAGAAGATTAGTCAATTTTTACCATCCATCAAATGCAATATTCCTCTACAAGATGCAGGTGTGTACAAGCTAGATTGTGAATGTGGTCTCTCTTACATAGGTCAAACAAAAAGATCTATTAAAACCCGCGTGAAGGAACATATAGCTGACGTGAAGCACTGACGCTCCGGGAAGTCTGCAGTCTGCGAACATGTTCAAGATCGTCCCCACCATTACATTAGATTTGATAAACCACAAATCCTCGCAAAAGAACACCGATTCCTACCAAGGATGATACGCGAGGCTATTGAAATTAAAAAACATCCAAATTTCAATAGAGAAGATGGTTGGGTGCTACCATCTGCTTGGGATCCCATAATTTACAAAATTAAACCCAAACCCAAGCATACCACTGCAAGACTTCATGATACTATAAGCTCGTTTTGCATAAATCGGACCAAAAATTAATATCCAAAAACTGAAGGTAGCCGGACTAACTATGACATTGTTATAGTGTTGGGATGTCAAACATCTCAGTCGCCCCCGTGACCACGGGTGCTGTAAAACACCCGAAACGTCGGGATATTAAAAATAAATTAAAAGTTAAATTAAACGCGATAAAATTCGTAAATAATAGTTTTATTCAATACACATTATTTTAATACAGTAGAACGGTATATTTCTGTCTTTGTTCAAGGAGTCCCTAGTAACACCTGTTCACAAGAGTGGAGATGAGAGTGGAGTGGATATCAACAACTGCAGAGCAATTTCGCTAAAAAGCTATAGATATTTAAAAGCTATAGAATTACTCTTGACTTGAGTCTCGATTCTAATTACATTTCTAAACTATCTACATAATTATATAAATTTATTGGGGACTTTCACTTTTGTCTGCATCTGCGGGATGGTATGGGGTAGTATGGGATCTCCTACGCCACTACTACACTACCTTTTGTCTCTTATTTAAAAAAGAGTTTGGTTTCAGTCAATACCAAAACCACATGAGGCTAGATATGAGATTCAATTCACATCAATCAATCATATAGATATCTGGCCAGTAGAGTGTGATATAGAAAATGATTGTAAGGATGACATTTTTAGCCTTGAATCTGTTAAAGTTGAGGAAGAGAAAATCGAAAACGAGAATTTCAAATTTAAAGTAAACTGGAGTCATGAAACAGGTAAGATATACACATTTTGTGATATTATTAAATTAAAGTACAATTTACATAATAGCAAGTGGTTACTGTAGCCCATGGACTCAAAATAAAGAGGACTTCATGTGCAATGTACTGATTTGCCTTTGTCTAAATTAAAAGTGCAAGTAAAAAGCACTCATGGAAAAAGAGATTAACAAATTAAATAATTATTTAAAAGATAACCATACATGGACATCATAATGAGCTTTGTTAGACATTTTCTTTGACTTATGTATAAATACATTTATAAATGTTTTGACCCTGTATAAATGCAGCCTGTATGTATGTACACTAAGATGTATTGGGTCCGATTGCGTTTCTCTTCGAACCTAAATAATGACGGACTAAAATTTTACTAAATATGTCCATGTCCTTAACCTAAAGCTATTACTTTTCTGTTAAAATAAGTTCACGTCACTAAATTTGAACTTAATGCTACGTCTATGGAAATGGACATAATTACGTTCGTTTGCCGCCGCAAATGGCAACACCACACCACTAGGCTGGCAAGTTGTCAAGTCTGTCGTGGTTATTTTTTGTGTGAGTTTTCGCAAGAATTATTGAAATTTTAATAATTATGGATACAAAGAAGCCAAGAATGAAGAAAGAACAGCAACAATATTTATTAAACTTCTTGATGAGGAATCCGGAAATGGTTAATGGTATGTTTACAAAATATTTCATGTGAATTTTTGTTTTAGTAGTGTAAATTGTTATATTTTAATCTATCGATTTACCCTACTCATCCATCCATCTATTTACAGAATAGCAAGTTCATTTTAAATTTGATCATAATCATATAATTGCACTCTAACTTGTCCTGTCTACAAGCATTCCTGTGTAAATTCAGTTTGGTAGTCATATCGCATTGCAACATTTGTTATTACATTTACAATCATTTATTCACGTTAAATTATAACATAACATATAATATAAATAATTGGCATCCAATAAAACATGATGTTTTCATACTTACCTATATTCTTCATTTGTTTTTATTTATCAACAGGAAATTGTCAGTTGCCGGCTACCAAAAGATTGTGGACTGAACTGACAGAAGCCCTCAATGGAATGGGAGGTGTTCGTAAGACACAGAAAGATTGGTTAGAGGTTAGTTAGCGGTGCTTCATACATTAAATTGTCCTAATTTCGTACTAAATATATCAGTGAACTTTTAAAATTTAAATCATAACCAACCTACTTTACCCACTTGGATATTAGTTGTTGTTAAATGTATAATCTAAATTTTTCAGACATAAAAGTTATTAGCACGCAGGGCGAAGGCTAAGAGTCGCACACAGCGTGCATCTATGCAAAGGACTGGAGGTGGTCCTCCAGCAGATATCTGCTCGACAGAACTGGAGAAAAAAACAATAAATATAGAGGGGACATCAACTATATATGGATTGCCTGGAGCTGTGGAAGCTGTAAGTTATTGGCATTAGTTTTTTGTAAGCTCTATATTAGATTTACTTATTTTTTCATGATTGCATCAATCATCACAATTATGTTAATTTTGAAAACTACATACATTACATAGCATTAATATTATAAAGATGTCCTTTTGTAATATGAACGGAAAACCTTGATCCTTGACTTGTAAATTTCTTACAGGGTATTATTATTGTCCCAGGGACTCCACAGCCCATTGTTGATGTTCCGGATCCTCATGTTAAACAAAACATAGTCATGGTGAGTGTGTTATGGCAATGCTTGTAGCAGTCGTGATATTTATTACCAGTAATGGTCTGATGTTAAGTTGATTTTATTTTGACTACAGGTTTTGGATGATGCTCAACTGCCAAAGCCCAAGCAGACGTTGATTTTAGACGCAGTAACAGTTGTGAGTATATTGTACCTATTCACAACAATATTATTATTTACATATAAATAAGATTTGTTAGTTTTATAAATAAGTTTAAACAGTGCCCTTATTATGTATGACTTGAGTTCTACTGATCAGATTTTGATGTAGTTTTCATTAAGCGTTATGGTCAATTTTGTAATTATAGAATAACCGCATTATTAATGTTATGAGTAATAAATACTGGTCATGTTAAAAAGAGTTTTATGCATAATGGTATTCTGAAATTGACTTCATAGTGGTGCAATTGTATGAATTTATCCTTGTAATTGTACTATGCAGGATATACATTCAGATACTGAAGAAGAGCCCCCGAAGGAAGCGGCTATGGTGGACGCGTTGACACCGACGGCGAGTCACGGGTGGGGCGACTGTCGTCACTTCAATGGCGACGGACGCGTCATCAATACCGACAGCCTCTCGCGTTGGTCGAATTGCGGTAGACGCGTTGATGATGCCAGCGGCAAATAGGGATCTGGCGACGATCAGTTGCAGTCGTGAACACACCGTGGCTATGAACCCCTGAACAGAGACTGGGGGAGGCCGGCGTGGTGCGCAACACTCCGCGCCTCGAGCGCCGCAACGTGCGTCGAGCAACGCCCCGTACGCTCGTGCCGCCAGCCGATTCAGCCACCCCGCAAGAAGATGCCATGATAGCGGCTTTAAGGGAGGGAGCCCAAGCGCAGATGGCGCTCGCCAATGCGCAGACAGAGGCCGCTCGGTATCTTGGCGATTGCATAATGCGTGCCGCTACCATATTCGTCGGAGCGATCAATAAAAATAAATAAACTATTTTTTCGAAATTAAGTTTTATATTTAGTAGTTTTATTATTAATTCTTTAATTTAAATCTTTAATTAAAACACATCCTGCAAAGTATTGTCTTGTGATGTTATTTCGAATATTTCTTGCCACACTTAAAAAATTCATATCCCTGGGAGGATCATCTGCTGGCCGCAATCTGTCTTCGAGTTCCAATTCATCTGGTAAAGGTTCATTTCTCTTAATTGCCACGTTATGGAGAACAACTAGAGCTGCTATTATTTTAGATGCCTTCACGGGGTCATAATGCAACGTCCTGTGCTTGTGAATGCATCTAAATCTTGTTTTCTTCACTCCAAAACATTTTTCAATAGGAACCCTCGTTTCGGTATGCGCTAAATTATATCTAGCCTCAGGTGTAATTTCATCCGCATCAGCATACGGGGTCATCAGCCAAGGCTGTTGGGCATATCCAGAGTCTCCTAGAAGCCATTCACCAGCTGAAACTCCGTTAACATAATTGGTTTCCAATAATTGGCTCAAACTGGATCCTTGCCAGACCGCTGCATCATGTGTTGATCCAGGAAAAGTGGCATTGAAATGAATTATTTCCATCTTTGCATTACATACAAATTGGCAATTAAGACTATAAAAGCCTTTGCGATTAAAAATAATCTCGCTGGCACAAGTGCTGTGTCTTTTGGGCGAACAATGGAGATTTGACTACAGTCTATCAAACCCAAGACTGAAGGAAACCCAGCTATCTGTAAAAACCTCTGTTTATTTTCTGCCCTTTCCTCTTCAGTCTCTGGAAATAGCACCATACCGTTCAATAAAACAGTTATAATTGCATCAGCAACTTCTTGTAAGCATTTGCTTACAGATGGCTGACTTAAACCTAAATACTGCCCCTGCCCAACCGTTGTTTGGTAGCCGCCATGTCCAAAGAAATGGAGTGAAGCCAAAACTTTGATATGCACAGGAATTCCGTGCTGCCTTTGTCGATTTAAATTCTGGTGAAGACACTCCACTAAAAAATGCGCAGTTCTTTTGGAGAGCCTGTATAATTTGGTAAAAACCTCTGCAGGCACGTCGAAAGGGTTGGAATGGTCCCGAATATGGCGGTGCGCTATCCTTCTCGCAGCCCTACAACGAAAAAAGTTAGGTTATGTTATGCTTATACCTACCGTATGCAAGAAAAGCAGTTTCTATAATATAAATTTCGTACTCATACCGTTGCCGTTCTTTATTGTGTCTTATTTGAATGATAGCCCAGCCATAAGGAAACATTTTTCACTATTTTCTGAAGAAACTTAGCTTACGTACGGACTAAATAGGTGCGAACTTAAAGAATAACACTTCCTAGACGTATAAGTTCATTTAAAGCCAACGAACTGTCAAATTGTCAGAAACGGAATAGCAAAAGACATGCGTAGACATAATTTAAGTCCGAATTGGACATAAATAGTATTGTGGACGTAATTAATTAACAAACGCAATAGCAATAATATTAGTACGAATTTTAGACTAATTTAAGTCTATTATTCGGCATTATTTAAGTGCGCCAAAGAAACGCAATCGGACCCATTAACTTCATAGGAGTTAATGATATACTTATAACTGGTAAGCTACCACCTATCTTTGCCGATTTCTTAAACCAGATGGACTCCTCCATCCTCCTGTTACCTATTTCTATCATCAAATAGCAGTGCGTGCACTGCTGTGTGCCAGTCTGAGGAGTATAGAGTCAGTATAATCACTGGCTGTGAAACATTGCATCTTAGTCGTCAGACAGCGCATTGTAGCCTTTGATGTTTGTTGTTAGCTGCAGGCAGTGCGTGGACTGCAGTGCACACTTACCATCAGGTGGATCGACTACATGCCATAAGGTGGACTGTTAGTTTGTTTGTCACTTCGTACTAAAAATATATGGAGAAAGGGTGCTCAAGGAATGCTTATACTGGCAAGCACTCAGCTACTAAAAACAAGTTGTGGCAGAACACTCACTAAATGAGGTGAATGAATCATCATCATCATTACAGCCCTTCACAAGCCCACTGCTGAGCATAGGCCTCCCCCAAGGAACGCCACAAACCACGGTCCTGAGCCACCTGCTTCCATAGAGTTACTGCATGTCTTACCAGGTCGTCACTCCATCTAGTGGGGATCGCCCTACACTTCGTCTACCGGCACAAAGCTGCCAAAATTATGTCACGTTAGGAGAACCTTTCTTCTCCATCGGTCGTCAGTTGTTTTCGGCCCATTGCCACTTCAGCTTATTACACATAGCTTATAAAACATGCAGTATGGTAATGAAAGTGGGTGGCTCGGAATCATGGGCTGTGTGATGGACTGTAATGATCTAGTCGCTTGGAAAAAATATTAGATTTTATTTTATATATTGAGTCAGAATCTGTTTCATTCTAGATACTGCTGAAGAACAAGAAGACTTGGAGATTGATGCTTTTGAAGATCGACATGAGGATTCAGAGAACGACTTGCCACTAATTTCATTAGGTGCAAAGAGTAAATCTGATGACGTTGACATAGGTAAAATAATTTATTTTAAAAAACTGTATCAAAAAATTAAAAAAAAACATCACATTAGAAATTTCTCTTGCATCATGTAGTTGGAGATGTACTGTACATACAAAATTTTGTTCTTTTGTTACACGTGAACAAACCCAATGATTGTTTGTGACCCCAATGAACCAAAATGATTATTTGTAGACCATACAATTGTGTTGTTTTAAGTAAGAACTGAATTCATCGGTGGTGACCCAAGGTGTTATTAAGATAAAACAGGAAAGGGGATTCACTGATTTGTCGATAGGGCTATTATTGCATCTGAAAAAGTTGTTGTAAGTACCATCTGATAATCATGGGATCCTGGGTTAGGCCAAACTCAGTTGTTGGGTTTTGCTGTCAAGAAATTCTCAGTAGCAGCCCAGAGTCAGCAAGTTGACAGTGTTTCAACCCCGCGCATCGGAAAGCACATAAAACCCTTGTTTCTACGTCTGATCTCTCTCCAGCAAGTTGGCAGTGTTTTCAACCCCGCGCCTCGGAAAGCACATAAAACCCTTGTTTCTACGTCTGATCTCTCTCCAGCAAATTGGCAGTGTTTTCAACCCCGCGCCTCGGAAAGCACATAAAACCCTTGTTTCTACGTCTGATCTCCCAAATTTTTTCAACCCTTTCACTCTCTCCAGCAAGTTGGCAGTGTTTTCAACCCCGCGCCTCGGAAAGCACATAAAACCCTTGTTTCTACGTCTGATCTCTCTCCAGCAAATTGGCAGTGTTTTCAACCCCACGCCGAAACACCTTGTTTGCCTCTCCAGCAAGTTGGCATTTTTCAACCCCCCTCGGAAAGCACGTAAAACCCTTGTTTCTACGTCTGATCTCTCTCCAGCAAGTTGGCAGTGTTTTCAACCCCGCGCCTCGGAAAGCACATAAAACCCTTGTTTCTACGTCTGATCTCTCTCCAGCAAATTGGCAGTGTTTTCAACCCCGCGCCTCGGAAAGCACGTAAAACCCTTGTTTCTACGTCTGATCTCTCTCCAGCAAATTGGCAGTGTTTCAACCCCGCGCCTCGGTAAGCACGTAAAGCCGTTGTTTCTACGTCTGATCTCTCTCCATTCGTGTTGGATTACCGTCCCATCGGTTTTAGAGAAAGAGGGAATAGAGAGTGTAAAAAAGATGACGGTGACATAGGTAAAAGAACATTATCTTATAAAGTTTCTTTTTTTTTTGTTTAGTGATCTACCAACATTTGTTTCATTCCCTACATGCTAATTAAATACAATGAACCGATTAGAACTAAAATGTACAAATAATTACAGGCGGATACAACATGCAAATAACTTTATAAGCACTGTGTATCTATATTTCTAGGATAAAGAAAGATTAAAAAGATTATAACGAAATACAGTACTAAAATTATATAGAAGCGGAAAGGAAAGAACATTTCTTTATAGAATATTACAAAAGACGGTCTCTTAAGGTGCGACGGAGCTTCTTAGGAGGATCGAAAAATATATCAATTTTATCTCTAAATTTGTTAACAATTTTACTCATTCTAGCAATTAGAGATTGGAGCCAAACACTGTTCATCGATATGGTCTAGTCAATGGTGTAATGTTACTAGCATAACGCGGATGACAAAAGGGAACGCACATATTAAATTTACTAAAAATTTTAGGGCAATCAATAACACCACTAATAGTTTTGGAAGCAAAGTTTACAAGCCTTTCCTTGGCTTAATGCACCCGATCTCATTTTATTAAATGCTTCTTCCATTCTTTATAGTAATGTTAGTATATATACATTAAATGAAGGTAAACTGAAAAAAAATATTAAAAATCTGTTAGGTCATCGTCCAAAGTTACCATGTAAATATATGATAAACACTAAATACATGACACAAAACTGCAACAACTCACCGATTTCTAGCTCACTAAATACAAAATATTTAAAAGATTAATTACGTTTAATTATATGTGCCAATTTGTTCGATAACTTGATGACATCTTGTAGGTAGTGACATAATCCCGTTGTTGCAGAAATCTTGTCCCCTCTTAATGTTAACCTAACACTATCCAAAGAATTCTGAAGAGACTGAAAGAGGTGAAAATCTGAGGGTGCAAGGTCAGGACTATATGGTGATCATTGACACTTCCCAAACAAGTTCTCTCAATTTTTACTAAGCGGCCA